GCGGTCCAAGCGCTTGGACCAACAGCTTCAAGGCACAAGGCGCGTCCACTGCCACTCCCGAAGTCGGACAGGAGGTCCTCTGGAACAGATCGAGCCCGGGTCACACCGAGCTGGGCCACTCCGTCCCTCCGTCCGGTCGGGGCCGGGCGGTCTGGAGGTCAACGTCAGCCATGGATCGGACGCATTGGGATCGAAGGGGGTGGTGTTTCCTTTTGGATTCCTTTGTTTGTGGCGGTCTAATGTAGGTGATTTCCAGTCCGGAGAGAGCCTGGTTGATTACATGCCGAGCTACGAAAGGGCCCAGTGGATGACGAGTTATGTTCAGTTTTCTGGCCTTTCCGTCTCTAGAAATAGCGATGTTCTTGTGAAACCCGATGGCTCGTCACAGGTAATATCAGGTACAAACTTACTAAGTATTATCTTCCTCCCTTTTCATCCCTTTTCAACGCACGTCACCAACTTGACCTTCTCGAGCGATTGACTTTTGCACATGTAGAGACAAACGTTGCAACGCTGCGAGGGCATCCAATTCTTCCTTCGGCTTTCCCTCCGGCTGGAGAACTGGGCGTCACGAGCAAGAAAACAAAAGGTTGCTAGTAACGCCGCAAGTAGTAGATGCTGGCACTACTACTAGGAACAAGAAGCTACTAGTAGCAAGGGCATTGCTACTAGGAGCAAGGAGGCTACTAATTAGTAGCTCCTGGCCTTACTACTAAGGACTCTAGAAATCCAGATCACCAAAATTGGGAAAATGTTTATCTCTGACTTGCGAAGCGTTGCAAAGGTCGGGCTGCACGGCTGGTGCAGTGCTGCAACTGGGGAGATGTTTCAAAAACACCTGGTCGATTGGTTGGAATGTTCCCTCTGGGTCTCTTTCTTCGCAGTCTCCTCGGCATGCATCGGGCATTCCGCCAGCAACCACTCGATGAGCTCCGGACTCACTTCACCGTAGGTCGCATCGCCCCCAGAGGCCTGGTTCAGAAAAGCACGTGGGCGAAGGTCAAGGTCATCACTCAAACCGCCAGCCCACGCGGTGTCACCACGAAAAACAGCGCGAAGCCAGCGTTTTGGCAAGGGACAATTCAGCATTCCGGGAAGGCCAAAAACTGGAAGGAAGATGAAGAAAGGGGAAACAACATGAAGACATAACACTTCTTTCACAGAACTGTGAAACCACGCTTCTGAACGAACAGAACTGAACGATTCGTTCAGTTCGGCGCGTCCGTCCGAACTTGGTCGCGGCATGGGACGGTGAGGCCATCGCCCAGTAACAAGGGCATCGCTAGTAGGTGCCAGGTGGAGGCCATCACCATTAGGATGGAGGCCATCGCTATACTAGTAACAAGGGTATTCTTACTAGGAACAAGGGCATCGCTACTAGTAGCAAGGGCATCGCTCCCAATTTGGAGGATGTTTGGGGGAAAAGGTTGAAGGACTAAGAAGCTTTTTCTGGGTGGACTAATCACCTACGTCCGCCAAAACGTCTCAAAACGGAAGTGGCCATCGCATGGGCCCTCCAACAGGCTTTGGTCTGCTTTCTCCCACAAAACCGGCGGCCTGTGTCTTCTGCATTCACTGCGCAAACACACGGACATTTTGGTGTGTCGTTGTCTTTGGTTTTCGTCCCCTTCACATCCCAAACTCCGCACTGAGGCACCCCCTCCATCGCACCGATGGTCGGGCGATTGGCCACGCGCGCGCTAGAAGGACCGTAGCTCGGAGCTGCGCACGAGCGAGTGCCTCCAGCAGCGCTTCTTCTTGTTCAGGGAGGTCATAAAGCCAAATATCTTCATATTCCTGCAGATCGCAGTGAACAATGAGGCATCAAATATGAGGCGAGTAACAAGAAGCTACTAGGTGGAGGCCATCGCTACTAACTAGGGCATCATATGAGGCAAACTTCTTTGACAAGAGAACTTTCACCGGCTTGACCTATAGGACCTACAGCTCCTTCTGGACATTTGTCACGGGGTGCCAGGTGCAGAATCCTCGTTCGCCTCTTTATCTCTCCATACGAAAAAGGACCTGCGCACAGCCAAATCCAAGAACCACTGATATCGAAGAAACCGCACTTTGAGTCAAGTAGCAAAGATAGTGGCACAGCTAACAAACACGGACAAAAACAAACACTACAGCTACTAGCGTCTGCTAGCGTCTGCTAGCTAGCTTGCTAGCTCCACTCAACTCAACTCTACCCTTCTGTCACTAGGCTCCCACTACTTCGAACTGCACGGTCTGTGTCAAAAAGAGAGGTTTGGCGGCAAGAAAGTGCACCAATCGGAGATGATCAAACAGTCGGAGATGGGAAGATATTGAGCCGAGTTTTTTTCCAGATCAATCTGTCAAGGAATGGCAAACTCCTTTGGGGTGACTCGATGTCTTTAGTGTCGGTATTCGTTGTGTAATTAAATGTATACCAGGACCCTCCAAGGGGTGCTCAATGGAAGCCTATAGGTAGTGTGAGGTAGTCCATTGGACACCCCTTGGAGGGTCCAGGTAGGTGGTAAACATGTGTCCTAGTACCTTTGGCCTTAAGATCCCCCAACCCTATGGCACAGGCACTGGACGCTCGACGGTCCGAAGAACCCTCACCAACGACGGTCCTGGTGGGACGCTGAAAAACAGCGGTCCCTGTGCGGTCCCTCACTGGTTGGTCGGCCCCTCCGAACCAGCAACAGTTGGACCACAAAACCAACCAACCAACCAAGCGAGCAGCATGGATTTCGGGCCTCTGTCTGCGGTCTCTACGGATGTCTGCGGAGGAAAAAAAACGCCTCATTTCCGGAAAATACCACATCAATAGTCACAAACCCTCCATCCCTTGCATATCCTAGCATTCCTGGCCCACCATCAATTCAATGGGCAAGTCATCCCGAACACCCATTGTGAACACAGCAGCTATTTGGCCACTCCAGCTGCCCGTTCCCCGTTCCAACGGAAACATGGCGACGGACTCAATGGACGATCCACTGCTGTTCTCATCAGTCCTGGTCAAAGATCAACCCGTCAAAGAGCTGGAGCACACGCTGTGCCTGACGTGTCGCTGGAGCACACGTCGTGGTCATGCGTCCCGTATCGTGGCGTATCTCTCTCTCTCTCTCTGTCAAGTGGGCCACATCTGCTTTCTTAGTGGGATGGTTTCAATTCTGCATCCCCATCTCTCGAAACGTTTTGGAACCAAAAACACGTTTGACTTTCACAGGAACCTCGTCCTTTCCCATGCCGACTGTCACCGCGGCATCTGCCTCTGCCGGTCAACCCACTGAGACTCGAGAGCAGCGCACCTCACACGCAGAGAGCGGCGCACACCTCGTCGCCTCGCACCGCAAAGGCCCAGGCGCTCGGTGGATCCGCCCTGCGAAGCGGCAGGACCGGACGAGCCGGCGGCGAAGGCAGCTGCAGAACGTGGGGGGGAAGAACGTGGCAATGGAGAAGGTCGTGGTGTCGGGTGGGAAGACGGGAGGACTTTCGGGTGGGTCGACCTCTTGTTTTTCCCGATCTAACACGGGTGAGGAGTGGCGGGGGTATGGACCGCGCCGTGTACCACCCAAGACGTGGATGCGTGAGGTTGATCGTGAGGACTCACGGTTGGTCTCAGCAGTTGTTTCAGAATTGGCTCGAAAAGGGGGTGGACATCCCAGAATTGGGTTGGGGGAACATCGGAACCAGCCGTGGGGTGAAAGATGTGGTAAAACCAAACCGATCTTCCCTTAGCAACTCACTGATGACCCAAATCTCAGACGCGGACGGATTCAGGTACCAGCAACGATCCCATCTGCGCCAGTCATGTTTGGTCTGTGCTTCGTAGAAGACTCCATAGAAGACTCCCTGCTAGTGAACCCCCCCAAAAAAGAACGCACAATAGAGGTGGTGGTTAACATCGGCTGCTCTTGCAGGACTCTCACGACCGGTGTGGCGGCGTTTCGCGTTCGCGGCCTGGCCGCCCGGAGGCCTCCAGGCGACGCCTTCTCCACATCTCCAGGCCAAGGGCAGCGCCAACGCCAAGACGGGGCAGCAGCCACATGGCGGCACCGATCGTGGTGTTCGTTCGTTCGGAAGCAACGGAGTCTTCAGAACAAGACAGGAGAAACCTGAGGAAGCATTCTGCCTGTGGGAGAAACCTGCAGCTTAGCAACCTGGGTCGCTCTTTCGATTCGCGTTGTCCCTCCGTCGGGATCGCCGATGCTACAGCTGTAGGACCAGGATCTAAACACCTTTTCCTTGCATCGCCCGAGGTCGACCGCTTGGCTGGTACCCCCTGTTTCGGGTGCTGCAGCTGAAGCGTCACCGGAGCGTCGACCGAGTCGGGTTGCAAGCACACAGGTATCGATATCTGCCTTCGGCGACCAGCCATGACCAGCCGACCTACATTTGGTGTTGAATAACTCATCTAAATCATAGCTGGAATCTGGTGGATGATCGTTTCCAGACTCTTGGGAGAACATGGAAGAGCAAATTGTTAATTTTTTGAAGAACAGTTCTCTGAGTCTCCATGTCATAACCTTGTCAAGGAAAACCAACATGGAGCTCCATCTATGAAATAGGTGTAATTATAAGTCTTCTGAACAGTTTCTGATGTGAACTACAGGTACCGCTTGCCGCTCAACAGCTCCTGCTTCCGTCTTGGACTTGCGGAAGTACTCATTGACTTTTTCATATACGTTCAAGATCAAAAAAGAATCCTTTCCTTATCACACTTTCGGCCTCAGTTTGCTGGGAACACAACTCAGTCCTTCACCTGCCATACCAATACTTCCAGTGCAAGAGCAACCAAAAGCCCAGCCACTGCTGTGAACCCAAGAACTGCGCCTTCGTCCCCGATTCCGAGCATTGGTCGGTAAGACTCACTGAGCCAACCCTGGGACCCTAAAAACTCCAACCAACTTGCCGTTTTTATCCATTTTCATCCCAATCAATCTTCGCAGTGGGCGGTTGTTCGTGGTTGTAGCTTTGGCAGCTCTCTTCAGAGAAGAAGAACGACCTGTGCTGAGGAGCCGGGCCACATGCCCTGTGAGTTGCTGATCGATGCAGGTCCACATGCCATGCAGTGCAGTGTCATCCAGGTGATCCTGGCATCGTCCCCGTGGACGCGCGGCATCGGAACACGTTGGACGCCGCTGGCGGAAGCCAGGCGCGGAGCCTTCGTTTCCCCGGCCCAAGAGTGGACCGGGTCAACCAGAAAGTAAACCAAATCTTGATCGATGCAAACGCTTTGATGCCAAACACTGGCACCCACACTCCCCGGCAGAAGTCCAGGACATCGACGTCTCTGCACTGACCGAAACGAAGTGTGGAAGTTCCCTTTCAGGTCCCTAAAGACCATTCCTTTTATAGTCTGACCGACTCCCAGGTTTCTGCACTGTTCCTTCACCCTTTTAGACCGCAGGTTTCCTTTTCTTTTCGGTCCTGATCGTAACCCAGAAGCCGCCTTGCGAGAAGCTGCCATTCCTGCAGCAGGGTTTCGCTGCGTCTTTTTTGCTGCGCTGCTCACCAGACATCCCGACCCTTGCTAAATTCGATGGCAATCCGATTCAGCCTCTACCAGGGGCCCCACAAACCGTCAAACACCTGGTTTTCCCTAGCAAAAAGACATGGTGTTCGTTTGCGAAAACAGATCTTTTTCATGGTTTTGAGGGCCACTGGTATTGCCTCTATCTGATGTGCGTGTCTTCTACCTTCAAAGTAAGAGAACAAGTTCGAGTCATCCACTTGGGAGAAACAGTCCAAGTTGAAAAGAGGGGGCCGCTTCGTTTGTCCTTTTTGCCTTTTGAACTGATGCCGGTTCTGGTCGGACGGTTCAACTGCCATAGAATTGAGTCCACACGCCTTCCCTCAAGGATTCGGTTTCACCGATGACCCGACAGCACTCCATGGTATAACATGAACCCTTTTTCACCACGCACATGTAGATCGCCATCATGTTGGCTGTGCATTTTTTCTCAACCCCCCCAAACGATGTAGATGAAACACTAGCCATTCTGCCTCAGGGGGTCTTTTCTTCATTTCTCCGTCTCCACGACCGTCCAGGACATTCCCGTCACCCGCACCCATTCAGAGACCACGCCGGTCCATGGCAGTCCTGGGCGGCGTGGAACGCCGAACTGGAGGAGTCGACTCAATCGCAGACACGACCTGTCTGGGACTGCCATAGGACTGCCGCCCTGGCACCAGACCCCCCTGGCACCACCCCTGGCCGTTTTGAAGGCAGTCCGTCATGGCAGTCCCAGACAGGTCGTGTCTGGGAATGGTGTATATCTACTCTGGTAAGACCAGTGCTAGTAGGTTGGAGGCCATTGCTATATACACGCTGGTGTAGACTCCTTGTGTTCTGGTGTATACTCTGGTATGCGACCAGTTTCCTCTACGTACACGACATCACGCGGCCCTGTCCCGCTCCCTTACCCCGCTGGACATTACCGGGAGGCAATGGACTATGCAGATGGAACTCATGAACCTGAATGCAAACACGTACTCGAAAACAAGTGCCCTAACATCGCTCGACACTCTTGTAAGAGACAATCCTTGTAGAACGCTCTTGCGGGACAATCTCGTGCGACACTCTCGTGGGACACTCTTGCGGAACACTCTTGTAGGACCTATCCGTAGCATGAGTTCCGAAGAAGGCCTGGGTTGTCCTGGGCCGTCCCCTCAGGTTGAAGCAGCTCAGGTCGCGCCTTCAGTCCACCGTTGTCCACAAGGGTAGGCCAGCAGAACCTTCATCTTGTCGCCCAAGATGACCTCCTCATCGAGAAGCTCGACCTCCTGTTTGCAGCTCAGCCTGCTGCTCAGCTTGAGAGACGGAAACGTCGCCGTTTGCAGCCCAGCCGTTGGGCAGTGAGTTGCAGCGAAGTCGCTGCTGACGGTGGCGCTTTCTTTCCGCCTTGCCCAGCCGGCTGCGCCGTGCGGCTGCGCCTGCACCCTGCTCCAGACCGTGCTCTGCCAAGCTTCTGGTCGACGCCCAGAGGCGACCCGTTCGGCCCCGAACCAACTGCTACATGTTGCTTCGGTCCAGTTCACCGCGAACTGAGGGTTTTGACCCCCTGGCGCGAACTGAGGGTCCTGCCTCTGAGCGTAACTGGGTGCTACTACACTGGTAACAAGTACTTCTCATTGACCGTGCATGACCGATGTCCAGTGTTCATGACCGATGTACAGTGTTCATGACCGTGAGCCGGTGTTTGTTTTCTCCTGGATTCCCCGGGGTCGGAGAACCGGGTGGTCGAAGCATTGCTGCGTTCCCGCCGGAGACATTCGTCGGTCAGAGTGGCGGTCAAGAGAACCTGTGGAAATTGTGTGCCTCGAAGCAGTCGAAGATTTCATCCAGTCTTGTGCCTTCTTTTCTTGTGCTCGATTTCATCCAGTCTTGTGCTTTTCCGGCTGGATTCGTGCTTTTCTAGGGCTCAAAGTTCGACATGATAACCTTCCAAAAAGTGGATCCATATTCGTTGGAATCTGGATTTGAGACTTTTATACACTTTGACCACCCACTCTTGCACTGCGGCCTTCTCGACACATCCCATCCCATCCCCGAATTTCGTCTCGCAAACTCGAGGTCCCCCGCCCCAGTGATCGTAAGCCATCATGAGCTGTTCCACCTTGGAAGGATTGGTGGAACCCTGGTGACCTAAGCAATTGGCCAATTGAAGGTTGGAGCCTCCTGTTGAACCAGTTCGCAGCCCGTGAGGAACAGCTCACCTTCCGTTCGATCCTTTCTACCGAAGCATGGCCAATGGTGGGCGACCCGATCCGCGATCTGAAGACGAGAAGGAGACATCCAACATGTTCCATGTGCTGGACAAGGACGAACGCGTGCTCGTTCATGCTCAGTCGGGATTGGAATCGTTCCCTTTCAACTGACCGTGTCGTGAAAAAAGACAACAGACTTGTCGACCTCCGAAAACACACAGCACCAGTCCCAACAGTGAGATCTATTCCAAACACACACCTGGATCTAGTCCCGTTTGGCCTCCAGTCGTACCGTATCGTTTCGCTTCGGGGTAGAAGGGGCACCCATGCCATGTTCGGGTGTCATACCGAACCGGTGTAGTCGCTACGACAGGTGTAGGGAGTGGGTATACGACTGGAACGACCGCGAGCGGCCGACGCTGGCATCTCCGGAGCCCTCGCCGGGCCCTCGCCGAACAGCGGGGCAGCCGGTCTTCCGATGTTTCATCTCATCCTTTTCCATACATGGCATGATATCCTAAGACTTTCGGGAAGGACCATTCAAAACAAGGATGGAACTGGCTTTTGTAGTGTAAAATCCTTAGTTGGTTCGGTGTTCAGCCTATTCATTTCATAGTGGTTGGAAGTCTAAGGGATAGTCTGGGATGTATGGAAAACGATGTATGCCACCCGTTGGTCCATCCCGTGTCCCCCAGTGGTCATCGACCCCCAAAGGCGTCCGAACGAGAACGACTCCAAGAGACCAGCAACCAACTCCTCTCAGGACCAACAGGACGGGGACCACGTTCGGGGCTGCTAGGGGCTCCGTTGGGGGTCCTATTAGGCCAAAGTTGGGTATGTCCCATTTCCAGTGGATGATGATGCTTAGTAAAGGCATGTCTCCAAAATCGTCATCATTTGCCAACTGAAGGTGGTCATGGGGATATACCCGATGCCAAATGATGTCTAACTGCCAAAATGTGATGTTGTTCCTTCTTTTTCCTTGAAACGATCGGTCGGCCCCGGCGCCCCGGCAGTGTAGCACGAGAGACCATCCTGAGTGGGTCAGTCAATGCCAACGAGTCAAGGTGCACAAGGACTTGGATTTGCGGTCCAGGAACCTTGAACAAAAAGGGTGTATTCACCAGAAGGGGGTTTACCCATAGGGAAAATAGAACATCCCCCGATCCGCGATGTCGCGACTGTTGGTCAGAATGGCTCGACCAATCCATTAAGCTACTCATAGTGATTTCATGTGGTTTATCGCAGAATCCTCCAAAGGTGGTTTAATGTGGTATATATATACATATATATATATATGGTACCTCCAAATTCAAGACGTAGAAGATTGGAATCCGTCAGGGATGTAAGATGATGACGATCATGATTTATATGGACTCCCATCTTTTCAGGACAAACCAAAACGGGGTGCCAGTGCCGTGGACCCTCTGAAAGCGAAACCGAAGACGAACAATGCCTGGAGGCACGTCATATCTTCCATCGATTCCAAGACCAACATCCCCAAGGGGAGCATCACCAAACCATGCTCATCACCATGCTTGGTGTGATGATGTGTGATGGTCTTACCCCTGGGCCCTTGGGGCATCCCATCTTCAAAGAGAGGTCTACCATACCGATGCGGAAGGCCCTTTTGTAAGACAGGGTTTTTCGTGTCGTCTGTCCTCAAACATCCCTGGCTAGAGTCTCTCTGGCTAGAAAGAGGACCAAAAACGCGACCCTTGTAAGAATGAAACGCCTCCTTCTTCACTTTCGAAGTGCGGGATTTCCCACACACACGATCAGACCCTGGTTCCCCTATGCCCAATGGGGCCCGCGACTTCATGCGAGCACCGGAGCGGAGCGCTCCACCGCACGGCACACTCCGCGGATCGACGCCCGGAGCACCGGGACCGACACCGAGGTCGTGGCCACCACGGCTTGGGCTGCTTGCACCGCCGAGGCCGCTTGGAGCTGGGACTTCTGACCGTGGGAAGCCGCGAAAAGACCAAAGAACACAAAAAGGAGACCTAATGGCAAAAGGAACCTAATAGCGATGGCCTCCAGCCTAGTAGCGACGGCCTCAAGGCTAGTAGCG